TTTCGTGTCCTCGTCGATACGTGGGAAGCGGTCCTGACATGATGATCCTCGTCGCAGGCGATGTGCTGCGCACCATCTCGATCAGGCTCCTGAAGTCCCTTTTCAGCGTCTGCCGCAGCTTGGTGCCGTTAAGCATGACCGTGTGAAGCACGACCGCTCCGGTGCTCTCGTTGCCCTTCAGGATCGTGGGTATCTGCGCAGAAACATCGAGAGCACCAGGGAAACAGTGGGTGTGCACTTTACCTTCAGCTAACGTAGCATGGATGTGCCGGACGATGGAGTCTCCGACGATCACAGTGTTGCGTTCCGTCTCGCGGAGGGGAGTGAAGCGGTACCGGGTGGAGGTCTCAAAGACCGGAGGCAGCGGAGGGGGAGAGGTTATCGCCCGGGGCCTGGCTTGCGTCTTCCGCTGCGGGTGCACCCAGGGTCCGTATTATGTATAGAAATATTACATTATGTATTTTAACAGTGTTGTTCAATAAAACCATGTAATTACTTGGTTTTGATACTTTATTTGAGCCAATTATTATTGCCTCATCGTTAGTTTATATATAAATAGTCATACTAAAGCCTGTTTTCACTTAGGTCTGTTTGTGTTACTAAAAAAAATTTGATTACTCAGTTGTCAAAATAATCAGTAGATTACTTGATTACCAAAATAGTTATTAGTTACAGCCCTAGATTAGTGAAGATATTTCAAAATACAACACTTTTTGTAATTAAAAGACAAATATTTTGTCATTGAAAATGTCTTAAAAATAGTATTAAAATATTGTCTTGTTCTAGTGAACCAAGTAACTGTATTTTGTCTCATCTCATGAGCTAAGTGTATTGTCACACCCCTAGTGTCGATAAGCAGTGATATAGCTCATCATTTTCCAAGTGTATGATACAGCTTTCATTCTTCAGGTCAACCATATATTCATGAAAAAAAATCAGTTTGAATAAGGAAAGCAATAGCTTTGCCACAGTATCCTTTCAAACGTTAAAGTTGCCACAGTCATTGCATGCTTTGCATGTGCTAATTTTGCAAGAAATGTAATGCTAAAAACATCAAATGTAAAATGTTTTACTCTGTGTAAAGGTTTTACAGGTAGTTGTGTTCATGGAGAGCAGCACACAAATGTTTGGAGCAGACAGAGTGGCAGACAGATTGTCCTACACATGTTCTCCTGCTCTTGTTCAAGACTGTGTGGTTCAGGAGTGTCATCATTGTCTTCCTCATCCTCTCTGTGCACTCAGGCAAAGACAGCCTCGATGTCCCTTCCCCATCCATGATCAGACTCTGTCTGACTGCAGCAATGAGGGACATGATGGACGGCAGAGACAGGTGAAGGTGGACACGGTGGTCAGCTGCTTCATCAGAATAAAGCTGTAGAAGCTGTGTTGAGATGCAGTAGGACGTGGATTCACCGCCTGTAAATACATGATTGTTAGAATAAAACTGAATAAAGCTTTGTTTCATTTGTCATTGACTTGTATTTATTTATTGTCATGGTTACTTTTATTTACTCATTTATTCATGTTTCCTGTTGTTGTCAGTAAATAAAATATAATTGTTTCATTAACTTATGCATTAATTCATTACTTGACTGAAAATTGAGATGTATTCACCTTAGCTGTGTTTGTCTAGTGTGTATTCATGCATAGCTATGGCATATGACAAAACAAATTACATTTTGCTTGTTTTACTAAAATTATATATAAAATTAATTCATTATTGGTCAGCATTTATCATTATTGTTGTAAGTGTTGGGGTGGGCTAGCAAAGCATTCTGGGGTAATCTTATTTTTAAAGTAAGTAATTCTTAAATTTTTCAAGTGTAATATTAGCAGTCTTCTCCAAAGGCGAGATCTTCAAGCAGCTGCCTGATGTCTCCTTTGTGCAAACATTGCAAACGCTGCAGAAAACTGTACTAGGTAGGGTTGTGGAGTTACTGATGCTATGAGGTGATAGTGCACCTGTCCCTCTTGTTTTTATTATTATTACTGCAGAACTTTTAATTACATACAAGCTCAGGGAAAGATGGTTGTGTCTTTAACAATGAACAATCATAATATAAAACATAAATATAATGGGTTTGCGTACATAGTATGAGAATATATAAACAGAAAAAAAGGCACAATTGTTGATGTTGCTATTTATAAGCCTGAGGGATGAAACAAAGAGTTAAATTCAACAAGAAAAAGAGGAAAACAAAGAAAATTTAAGCTGGTTTTGCTTGTGGATGAAATATTTTGAACAAAAATAAAGACATTAACAACATATTGAAAAGACAACAATTTGGGGTTTTCATAATAAAATATAATATCTTTAAGGGTAAAACTGTGGGTCACATTAGTAGGGTTAAAAATATAAAAACTTTTTAAATAACAAAAGTTTTTTGGTTGTACTACAATCACATAAAAGGGCAACTGTTTCTTCAACAAGACCACAAAATTAGTAAATTTCATCAACATCAAAATATTTACCGATAGATGAATTAAACCTGTCGCTCCTATCTTTTAAGTTGTTGCGCTTGTAACGTCATAGGTCACATGATAACGTCAACATGGTGGATGAAGTCCGGATCTCATTCAAATGCCTTGTCCAAATATACACACTTGTGGTCTTTGCACTTGACCACTTGACTACTTATACGACGTATTTCCTGTTTTTGGCCCAAGTGTTCAAGTGAGCATGAAGACCCCAATGCCTTGTCCAAATACCCACACTTGCGGTCTTTGCACTTGACCACTTGAACACTTATATGACGTATTTCCTTTATTTGGCCCAAGTGTTCAAGTGAGGATGAAGACCACAAGTGTGTGTGTCGAACTTTTCATTACCTGATGGGACACACTTGTAATGTTGTAAAAATGCAAGTGTTTACATAGCTTTATTTTCATTTTCATTTTAAATACTTTGCATTTTAAAATCAACTTCTAAATGTCTGTTCAGTAGTCCATATAAAATGACAATTTAAATTTGTGATGCTTCTAATTAAGTGATAAAAAGCAGTTGCAAATGTTGTACAAAATAAATATCACCACTACTCATCTTTGCACCAATAAAACATAAAAACACTGTTTTCTACCAAACTATATATCTAATTATTATATTAATATTTAACTTGCATTGGAAAGGTTTCTGTGACCTCTCGTGAGATCTCAGCAAAAAGTCTCACGATTTATTTCCAGAACATGTTGCATGATGGGATACACTAAGCCTCGAATAGCGCTCCGGAGCGGTATTCAAGATAGTGTGGATTTAGTGAGCGTTAAGAGCACTGCGCTTTGGTATTTTTAAGACCTGGGACAGTCTTGCGCACTTACTTCCTGTCGTGCGCACGTGCTCTCAAGTGGCCAAGGCTGCAAGTGTGGGTATTTGGACAAGGGGAAACTTAACGAGACTTGGCTGTAGAGTACGTACTCTATTAGCGCTCGTTAAGTAAGTACTTATTGAAATTAAGTACCTACTCATTGAGTATGCGATTTCGAACGCAGCCAAGGCTACAACTGTTCATTAATGGGGAGCCCAGGTGATGCAAATCTGTGTCACTGCTTATCTTTAAAATGCCTGGTTAGACTAGCAAACTGAATGGTTGAACTTGTGGGCAAAATGGGTTCTTCTAGACTTATTCTTTTATTCTATTTGTATCATTCATGGAGTGAAGGTAAATTAACTTTAGTGTATAGATATTAAAAATGTGTTTCTCTTGTTAACCTTGAGTCTTCTTCTAGTGCTCTGTACTCCAACTGAACGTGTCTCCCATGTGTCTGATTGGAGTAATGCTGGGCAACTACTGCAAAAACACAAAGGTTTGGTTGTTAATTATCTAGGTTCATTAACATAAAGATATACATGTTTACATGATGATGATGATGTGTTTAGCTACCATATTGTTTGTAAAATTGAAGAGAAATGACTGTGGCTGTATTATATTGTCATCTCTGTAACTAACAGTTATTCAAAAATTATTTTCAGGACCGGCTGAACATGACAATTCTCCCTTCCCTCAGAAACCTAGTTCCAGTGCTCATGTGAAGTCAAGTTTTTCCATTTCCTTAAGAAAACCTACTGCTCTATTGGAAAACAGCATTTGGCAATCATCTGTAAAAAAAGCACATCCTAAGGAACCCAGTTTTTCCTTTGGTTCTGAGAAGTCCCGTTCCCTTTGTGTGAAGAAACCCAGTTTTTCTCTCCCATCTGAAAAGTCAAGCTCTAAACCTAGTGCTCCTAAGCAATTGAGTTATTTCCGCCCCTCTGAGAAGTCTGGCTCTAAACCTGAGAGACCCAAAGCTCCTACTGAACACCAATCTAAGCTAAAGACCCCAAGTTCTCCTTTCCCTGTGAAAAGTATTCTCTTCTCGAAGGTCAGTTCTAAACCTAAGAAACCTGGGGCTCTGATGGTACTCACTTTTTCACATCCATCTAAAAAGTCAAGTTCTAAACCTGATAAACCTATTGCTCCTATGCAATTGAGTTATTTCCGCCCCTCTGAGAAGTCTGGCTCTAAACCTGAGAGACCCAATGTTCCTACTGAACACCGATCTAATCTCGAGATCCAACGTTCGCCTCGCCCTGTGAAATCAAGGATTCACTTCTCAAAGATCAGTTCTAAACCTAAGAAACCTGAGGTTCTGAAGGGACACATTTTTTTACTTCCATCGGAAAATTTCAGCTCTAAACCGGAGAAATCTAGTTCTCATATGCAACAACATTCTAAGCCAGAGACCCCAAGTTCTCTTCTCCCAGTGAAATCAAGTGTTTTCCTAAAGATCAGTTCTAAACCTCTAAAAACTAGTGCTCTTTTGAAACCTAGTTCTTCCCTTCCATCTGATAAGTCTAGCTCTCTCCCCACTGGGAAACACAGTTCTAAACCTGAACAACCTAGTGCTCCCAAGAAACCCAGTTCCTCCCTCTCCACTGAGGAACCCAGTTCTAAACCTGAACAACCTAGTGCTCCCATGGAACCCAGTTTTTCATTCCCCACTAGTGCTCCCATGGAACCCAGTTTCTCCCTCCCCACTGAGAAACCCAGTTCTAAACCTGAACAACCTAGTGCTCCCATGGAACCCAGTTTTTCATTCCCCACTAGTGCTCCCATGGAACCCAGTTCCTCCCGCCCCACTGAGAAACCCAGTTCTAAACCTGAACAGCCTAGTGCTCCAATGGACCCCAGTTTCTTATTCCCCACTAGTGCTCCCATTGAACCCAGTTTCTCCCTCCCCACTGAGAAACCCAGTTCTAAACCTGAACAAACTAGTGCTCCCATGGAACCCAGTCTCTCATTCCCCACTAGTGCTCCCATGGAACCCAGTTCCTCCCGCCCCACTGAGACACCCAGTTCTAAACCTGAACAACCTATTGCTCCAATGGAACCCAGTTTCTCCCTCCCCACAGAGAAACCCAGTTCTAAACCTGAACAACCAAGTGCTCCCATGGAACCCAGTTCCTCCCTCCCCACTGAACCCATTTTTAAACCTGAACAACCTAGTGCTCCAATGGAACCCAGTTTCTCCCTCCCCACAGAGAAACCAAGTTCTAAACCTGAACAACCTAGTGCTCCGATGGAACCCAGTTTCTCATTCCCCACTAGTGCTCCCATGGAACCCAGTTTCTCATTCCCAACTAGTGCTCCCATGGAACCCAGTTTCTCCATCCCCACTGAGAAACCCAGTTCTAAACCTGAACAACCTAGTGCTCCCATGGAACCCATTTTCTCATTCCCTACTAGTGCTCCCATGGGACCCAGCTCCTCCCTCCCCACTGAACCCATTTCTAAACCTGAACAACCTAGTGCTCCAATGGACCCCAGTTTCTCATTCCCTACTAGTGCTCACATGGAACCCAGTTCCTCCCTCCCCACTGAGAAACCCAGTTCTAAACCTGAACAACCTAGTGCTCCGATGGAACCCAGTTTCTCATTCCCCACTAGTGCTCCCATGGAACCCAGTT